CACTCACACCCTATATACAGGTTATTGTTAGCTGGTATTTTATTGTCCTTTTGTTTTCTGCTTAGTTAATATCATCACTACTGTTGCTTCATATTGCCAATGATCACTTAGACTTGCACATTTTATTAATTTCTTTGGTAAATTTCCTTCATATATTTAAAAACTTCTTTATTGGGTCAATTTCCTTCTTATTGTAATACATCTTGAAATATTACTTCGATAAGAATATATTCACATTTTCTGGGGCTGGGAAGATGGCTCGGCAGTTAAGAGAAAGTACTGCCCTTGCAGAGGACCTGGGCTCAGTTCCCAGCACCCACATGCAACAGTTCATATCTATAACTCCAATTCCACGCTCTCCTCTGGCCTCCTTGGGCACTAGGCATACACATGGTGCATATACATACATGTAGGTATTCACACATACACAGAAAGTAAAAATTAATGAATCTTCAAGAGAAATAATATTTTATTTTCTTCCTCATAAATACCTCCTTAGCCTCCATTCTCTTCTTATTGTTTTTATTGAGCTATACATTCTTCTCTGCTCCCCTTCCTCCCTTCCCTCTCCCCTTCTACCCTCTCCTGTGACCTCACACTCCCAATTTACTCGGGAGATCTTGTCTTTTTCTCCTTGCTATGTAGATCCATGTATATCTCTCTTAGGATTCGCTTTGTTGTCTAGGTTCTTTGGGGTTGTGAACTGTCGGCTGACATTGCTTTATGTCTAAAAGCCACGTATGAGTGAGTACATATGATATTTGTCTTTCTGGATCTGGGTTACCTTACTCAATATGTTTTTTTTTCTAGATCCATCCATTTGCCTGTAAGTTTCAAGATGTACTCCATTGTGTAAACAGACCACATTTTCCTTATCCATTCTTCAGTTGAGGGGCACTTAGATTGTTTCCAGGTTCTGGCTATTATGAATAATGCTGCTATGAGCATAGCTGAGCACATGTCCTTGTGGTATGATTGAGCATCCTTTGGATATATACCCAAAAGTGGTATTGCTGGGTCTTGAGGTAGATTGACTCCTAATTTTCTAAAAAATCTCCATGTTGGTTTCTAAAGAGTCTGTACCAGTTTGCACACCCACCAGCAATGGTGGAGTGTTCCCTTTACCCCACATCCTCTCTAGCATAAGCTATCATCAGTGTTTTTGATCTTGGCCATTCTGACAGGTGTGAGATGGAATCTCAGAGTTGTTTTGATTTGCATTTCTATGATGGCTAAAGATGTTGAGAAATTCCTTACCTATGTTTTGGCCAGTTGAGATTTGTCTGTTGAGAGTTCTCTGTTTAGGTCTGTACCTCATTTTTTTTCCATTGAATTATTTGTTCTTTTGATGTCAAGTTTCTTGAGTTCTTTGTATATATTGGAGATCAGTCCTCTTTCTGATGTGGGGTTAGTGAAGATCTTTTCCCATTCTGTAGGCTGCCATTTTGTATTGTTGACTATGTCCTTTGCTTTACAGAAGCTTCTCAGTTTCAGGAGGTCCCATTTACTAATTGTTGTTCTTACTGTCTGTGCTACTGGGGTTACATTTAGGAAGTTGTTTCTTGTCTGCCAATGTGTTCAAGTGTACTTCCCACTTTCTTTTCTATGAGGTTCAGTGTGGTTGGTTTTATGTTGAGGTCTTTAATCTATCTGGACTTGAGTTTTGTGCATGATGATAGATATGGATCTATTTTTTAGCCTCCATTCTTTCTGTTTTTAAAACAGGAAAACTTACTTTAATCTCTTTAGCCTCCATTCTTAAAAGATGTCTTAGCTGTAGAGAATTCTAGGAGAACATTTTTCCCCTTATATCATCTTAAAGACCTTTCCCACTAGGATCCATCTCCCTCTGGGGTTGCATTGTGCTGCTCTGAGGTCCTGCTGTTAAGTCTATTTTCAGAGTGTTTTCTCTCAGTTATTTTCTTTTTCTTGTTTGTTCCAAATCACAGTTGGTCATATAAACTGACATGCAGGTACGTGAGTGGGTACAGGTGGGTGGGTGCTAGTGAGTGGGCACAGGTGAGCGGGTGCAGGTGATCAGGTGAGTGGGTGAACGTGAGTGGGCACAGGTGAGCAGGCACAGGGGAGCGGGCACAGGGGAGCGGGCACAGGGGAGCAGGCACAGGGGAGTGGGTGCAGTTGAGTGGATGCAGGTGAGTGGGTGCAGGTGTGTGGGCAAAGGTGCGTGAGTAAAGGTGAGTGGGTACAGGTGAGCTGGTGCAGGTGAGTGGGTGTAGGTGAGTGGGTGCAGGTGCTGAGCAAGTGCGGGTGAGTGAGTGAAGGTGAATGGTGAGGCTGGATCTAGAATATTTTTGGACACATTGTGTCCCCAAAAATAGAGCTGATGATTTTCATTAATCATGGAAATGATAAAAGTCTAGTCTGCTTTTCTACATATTTACTTAATGTGTGTTAGATCTTTTTATCTTTCATTTTTTAATCTCTTTGTCTGAATTTTTTAAGATTTGTTTTGCTGTTTTCCCTTGTCCCCAATTCTCCCTTTAAGCTGCCTCTAATTTGCTAGTTAACCTGTGAATTGAGTTTTTTTTCAAATGTTAGTGGTTACTTTTCACCTTTTATCAAGCTTAAATTAAGCTGATTTTTTTTTTACCTAAAATGACTAAATCTTTTTCTAGTATTTTTAATCCTTTGCATGCTTATAGTATAATGTATACTCTGATAGCCCCTGTCTCATGGTTTTCATATTTTAGGAGGAAGAATATCACTATTTATTGGCTCTACTAATCCAGGCCATGGTGAGTTATTTTTACTTGGGGAGAGTGGAGCTTCATTACTTCTGCTCATCAAGGGTTTAGCTCCAGGAATCATGCTGGGCTGGCCTGCATGCTCACCTCTCCAGATATGCCTGAGGTTTGTTTCTGAGCTTCCTTCTGCAGAGATGCCAAAGCCAAGTGCCTGTTGTGGTGTCTTGAGGCTTCAGCTTGCATGTATCATTGCTCTTAACAAAATCTCAATTGTTCGATTTTACCAAAAAAGACCTGGGAGCCAGATGCTGAGGTGAAAGCCTGCTAGCTCAGAGAGGCAGGGAAGGCAGCCAGCTGAGCTTCCTCCTCCACTGTCATCCCCGAAGCCTCTCCTCTCCCTTCTCAAACAAGTCTCCACAAACTGAAGGTCCCGCCCTTCTATTTCCTGTGTGTCTCTCTATCCATCCTACTGACTCCCTCTTATTCTCTATAGTTTTCTCTTAATAATCTTATGTTCACTTCCTCTCAACTGGTTGCTTCCTCTGCCTCTTGACCAACCCGGTTTAGAATATTCAATAAGAGGCCCTTGGATTAAAGGTGTGTGCTAGGGCTGAGCCACACCACAGCTAGAAACAGGTTTCTGAAGCATAATAACACAATCTCAGGGTTCATAGTGTGATCAGATATCCTGAAGCAAAGTATTATAAATTCGAACCAATCTTTTCCATGATCAGTCTATGTCTACTAATTCTCAAGGAACATCATGTTCTTTCTCTGTTCAAAGGCTAAAACACATAGCATTGCTTGTCACAGCCGATTACAAACATATTCCTCCGGAACCACCCTTTTACCCAGCGTATAGTTTTCCAAGGGTTTTGACTTCCCGAGGGGGATGACTCCGCCCCAGCTCCTGGCCTGGAACTGTCCTCAAACCATCACCCCTTTGCTTGTGTGGACTTCAGCATTCGAGCCACTACCTTGCAGAGACAGTAGCCCTCCATAGACCTGATTGTGTGCTTGCATGTTTGCTTGCATTTTGGCTCTCCATCCCTCTTCTTTTTCCCTCCATCATTCTTAAAATATTAATCTTACACTTACAGTATCGCAAACATTCTAAAAGTATTATATTTCACCCAGAATTCTAGTCTTCAGTGGGGTGGATCTGGATTTTCTATGACTTCCAGGAAAGGATGCCTCCAGGACTCTACACTTTCTCCTGTCTCCTCACTGGATTACATAAGGAGATGCTGTTAGATATCACTATTTTAAATAAAATGACTTCTAAAAATAAAGCATTTTACTGTATTTGGTGTTATGTTGTATAGCTATACTTTTTTGAAGCGTAAAAGAAAAAGGGGGTTAAGTTACTTTTCAAGGATAAAGTGCAAGGAAAGAAAATACTGACATCTTGAAAGGCAGAAAATATGTGCTCCAGGCAGGCCAGTAAGTACCCGAGAACGTACAAGGCCAAAGAGAAAATTATCATGGAACACTTACCATGGCAAAATGGATCAAGTTGGTAAGAAAGATGACCAGGATGCTTTTTATAAATAGAATGAAAGCTTTGTTGTAAAATGAGAGTTTTGGGGGGAAATAAAGGGCTCATAGAAGGAAGCAACACAAATAAAGAGCATTCTGAGTGCTCAGGAGGGACCCACAGAAGCAGAGGCCCCATTGAAAACAAGCTCAGGACACTGGGCCTTGGAAGGGAGCATTTGCAGTGTCCCCAGGATGGGAGGAGCCGCTTTCCCTGCTGCCTGTATTTCCCTAAGACCAGTGCCTTCCAGCTCTGATAAGGAGGCCATGTCCACTGGATAGGACGTACTTTTCCATTTTCTCAGACTTGGAGGGAGAGAGGTGCTAAAGTCAACCCAGCAAGGAGCCATGATTAGGATTCTCCTTTCAGAGGTCAAGAACCCAGTCTGGGGACATAAACATGGGGGCATTAAGGAGCACTCTAGAGGCCTGTACAAGTAGCGAGCTATTTTCTCTCCTTTGGTTATAAAAAAAGACACAGTGGCAGTCTGCCCACTCACGATGCTATAGCAAACTTGAAAAAATCTTTATGAGGTCACTTAGACCATTAACTTGCTCAAAATGCTTCTTGTTTTCTAAACCATGCGGCCTCATTCTCCGAATCTGCACCTTTCAGGACCAGTTAATGAATGATGCAAGTGTAAAGTGTCCAACAGACCTCAGTATAAACACTATCCATCTTAACAGCAATAAGGCAGTGACGACATCAGATCTGATGCTGCTGCCTCCAGCTTCATGGGAGCACACAGGGAAGCTTACCTTAGTGAACGCTCGATAGCACAAGCCACACAGCTCCACCAGGTAGGCCAGAGTGAAGACTGCATTCTGAATGACGAAGCTGAGCAACTTGGAAAATGGTTCCAACAAACTCTGCAATGAGATCAGAGCCAAGTAAAATTGCTTATACCTTCACTTAAAAAAAGAAAAGTACCAGTCTTATACTTTAACTGCTAGAGCTGGTTTTTTAAAAGTTTGATGCAAGCTGCTGTTAATAACCACTCTGTTGCTCTAAGAAACCAACCCACATTTCAAAAAGAATGAGTTAGTCACTTTATTGCTCAGAAAAAATCAAACCCCTCATTTTCCCACATGGCATCTTTTACAAACCCTCCTTATTACAGTCCTGTTCTCCTGCCAGGCTAAGCAATCCCACCTCTGTGAGGCTGGCTGAGATCTCCCAATCTGTTCCACTGGACCCTCAGGTGTCTGTGGCTCCTCAAATTGGTACCTACCAGTTACACTCTGAAAAGAGCTCTGTGCACAGCAGCACCAAGTACCTAGAGTTCAAACACAGTTCCTGCTGCCCAGCTTCCTGCACGTATTTATCAGAGGGATGTTGTCGGTTTGTTTCCCATCTGAACCCCACCATCAGAACTCAGTTTTAGTTTTGCAGGCTCTCACAAATCACCCATTTTGTTTGGAGAGCACCCACTAGTGTCAGGCAGTGCCTGGTGCTTTTGCATTGTGTATCTGTGAGGTGTATGCTTGTCCTGGAGCCGCAGGGGCCAGGAAAGAACACAAGCTCCAGGCTTTGATGCTGCTCTTCTTAGCAGAAATCTTGGATCTAGATATGCATATAAACAATGCACTCTCTTATTGGTAATATAAGAAATTAAAGTGCTATTTAGTACTCCAGAACCATACATCTCAACAGCCACACTTCAAATGCCACCTCGGTGAATGTCTACATGACATTTTCACTCGAAAGCTCTTCCTTAGAACAGACGTTCAGAAAAGGACTGGCTCAATAAGAAGATACAAACATTTTTACTTTTTGTGCGTTCACGTGTGAGGGTGTGTTTGTGCCATGATATACATGTGAAGGTTGGTGGACAGTCTCGGGTATCAGGTGAGGACAGCCTCACCTTCCACCTTCTCTTGCTGTTGGCCACTGTGCTGCATCCGGTTTTTATGTGGGTTCAGGGAATGGAGACTCAGGTAATCATGCCTGAGTGCCAAGCGCCTTTGCTCTCCCAGAATCTCTGCAGCCCCAGGGATAAACTCACTTTTAAAGAGTTATTTTATTTTTACTTATATATGTGTGTGTCTGTGAGTCTGTGTATCTATGTGTGTTTGTATGTATATGTGGGTGTATGTGTGTAT